AAAAGAGAAATCTTTCATTATGAAAATAAAATCATAAGAATCATATTATAGCCAGATTTTTTTAAAGGTAACCATTTTCTTATGAAAATAAAATCATAAATCAAATTTTTCCTTCAAAATGAGAGTAGATAACCAAGGGGAAACGAGCGGACGAGAAAAAAAAGATAAGTTTTCAATTTGCGAACATTGACTTCTTTTATAAGTTTTATTTTGTTATCTCACGTGAAGTAATTCCGTTGGTGCAAAAAATTTTTTTCTCATAACGGAGGCTTAGCTATAAGGTGCAGTTTACGTACGTAACTGATATAAAAAATATAAACGCGTAAATGACACGGAAGGAATACTTGTAGCACAAGTCAGAAATCTAAAAAAGGTATTTTTGTGTAAATCACTTGAAAATGATGTAACTAGGTATGACGTAAACACAATTGGCTTCTTTTATGAGTTTTTATTTGTTGCGTGACAAACGAGATTCGCCGATCACCACTTTCTTTGATGACTAAAGAAGTAAAAATTTATTGTATTTTATTCATTTGTCAACTTTCTAAAAAATTTTTTTGATATAAGAAATTATTACTTTTATATTTGCCGTGGACTGTAATAATTGCATTTATTTGAACCAAAATTTTTTGTTAATTTAATAAAAGAAAGAAAATATTTGATCTATTAAGTTTTATACAAAAAATCGAAGGAATTAAAATAAATATATTGATTACAATAAAAAAATTAATCTATCTTAATAATAATCCTGATTATTAAACTTAACTTTTGGGTATTTTCAGATATTACTAAAATATTTTGGTATTAAATATAAATAAACTAAAAGCCAATATGAATATCCTAATAAAGTTCCAAATAAAATTTCAATAAAACTATGAAAATATACAGTTGTCATAAGTAACATCCACCACCAAAGGATGAGAATTGCAACAAGAGAACAAAATGAATAGAATTTATAAGATTTCTTAAATTCAGGGCGTTTCGAAGAATATAAAATATTACTGAATTCTTCGAGTAGGAAAAGGGAAGCGTGAATTAAGAGAATACAATGTCCACTAAAATCCCATCCACCTTCCCATTTACCACCACTTTTCTTACAAGCATGAGCTTCTTGCATTTGATCATCCGTAGAACATCCTCCGCCGGATTTAACAAAAATCCAACTTGTTATGCTTAGTCCAAAGAAATTTTGTGTCATAATGTACCAATATAATGTAGCAAATACCCATCTAATAGCTGCGTATATTTTTTCTTTCTCGCTGATATTAATCACCTCGGAAAATAAACCTCCAAAAAATGTTATTGAAGTCCAAAACCAACCCATTTTCACAAATATCTGATTTAAATAATTGGAGCTCTTAGAGTAATAGGAGTCTACCGGGTAAAAAATTCCATGTAAATTTCCTAGAAATACTGTTACAGCGTAGATTATAATAAGCCATTCCTGTCTTTCTCGTTCAGTCTTTCTGGTTTTCACAATTTGATTTTCATCTGTCTTGACTTTTGGGTTCTCGTTCGAAACTGTTGAAGGTGTCTTTTCATTCGAAACAGTTGAATGTGTCTTTTCATTTGTAACTGTCGAATGGGTTTTTTCATTTGAAATTATTAAATGTGAATTTGACATTATAGTTTGAGTCATTCACTACCATTTTGAAATATGAATAATTATTATATTTACTATTTTTACTATTTTTAATTAATAATTAAATTGTTTAGACTTTATCAGATGTTAAATTGAATATGATTGGTTGTTCTGCGATCGTAACCAAATACGAAATTTTCAATTTTAAAAAACATTTCGTCTTTTTTTCTAAAATGTCTGAAGTTAGAAGAAATGTTCCTTCCTTCTCAACTGTTACGTCAAGTTTTAAGTCATACATTCTCTCTTTGCCAATACTGACATCTTCAGTTACTTGCGTGGCAATTTTCATATACATTTTGGATTCGTTGTTGGTTAATAGTGTAATTTACGACGCGATCGATCTATTGCCAAAAAAATTATTTGAAGGGCAAGGTATTTCATGTTTTTTTTTTTTTTTTTTAACATGCTTTTATTCTGCTTTCTATTATTATTGATAACACGATTTTATGTTTATATGACTTCAGTGTGGCGTATTATATCTTATCCTTATCCTCATAATTCTCTTGGGCATTTGTTATTCAATCTCCTCATTTTCTTACCATTAAGTACTACCATTGAACATACAATTGGAACTATAGAGTACTTCTACATTTTGATCACTATCTTTACATTACTTTCGGGAGCCTTTTACCTATTGGGTTCCTTCATTTTCGATTACAAAGAAACTAGTGTTGGAGGTTTAAGTCCTTGGATATTTGGTGTTGTAGTATGGGAAAGTAGAGAATTGGCTGGAAATGAACGAGAGTTTGTATTATTATTATTTTTTAATAGGTTTTCTGAATTTTTCTTGTTAATAATAATAATAAAATTCATCATCTTTATTTCTCATTTTTATTTTCGATATAGTCTTTTTGGGTTATTAAGAGTCCCCGCTCATTTTTATCCAATTGTGTTACTATTATTGATGGAAATATTTTTCCCCCGTGCGTGGTTTGCTAGTCATATATGTAGTTTAATCACAGGATATTTTTGTATGTGGTTTATTTTTACTTTCTATTTTCTTTATTTCTTTATTTTCCATTATTTTTTTTCCTCTATTTTTTTTCCTCAATTTCTTTATTCTTTACTTTAGATAAAAATTTATTCAATTAATACATATTCATCATTCGTTATTTTTTTTCCTCCAGATGCATTTGGTTATCTCTCAAGTATACTTCCACCTACACGCTTTTTTTCAAATCTTGAATCAAAACCCCCATTTTCTCGTATTGTAAATTTTCGAGGATTTGTTAAGGCAGATGAAATAAGTAGGAGTGGGTGGTGGTTACCACTTTCAATTGATCCTATAGATGATCCTTTAGAATCTCCAATAAGTGAAAACGCTGATGAAAGCGGAGAACCTGGTCATGCCAGCAGCAGCAGCAGTAGCACTAATGCAAATGAAAATGCGAATGCAGATACAAATACATTGTAGGATTTACTTTTTTTTTGATACATGTTGGAATTATTTTAATTACACATTTTTTTTCAATATTTTATAATTTATACAGGTTTGTCGCACGTTCGGATTCTCTCGATAATTCTACACCATTATTTGTTGTTCCTTCTTCCAATTCCTCTGGAACAACTTCTCCGTCACCAGAAATGGAGACAGAGACAACAACTCTTGCTACAGAATCTAATTATAATTCTAACGATGGTGGCGATCCTTTAACCAGCAATAATCACTAATAATATTTAATTTGTTTATTAATTATTAATTATTAATTGATTAATTATTATTTATTAATTATTAATTGATTAATTATTATTTATTTCTAATATTTGTAAATATAAAATTTATTTTTGGTTATAATTATTTTTGAGTGTCCTCTAACGTATGACATTTGTATTTTTTATTACTTCGCTTTTTTTCATTTTTTTTTGCAAAAATTGATCTGTCTTTCACGGATTGTATGTATAGACTTGGCGATCCGCCTAAGATCGGCAATATTTAAATATAAAAAAATTGAGGTAAATTTATATATATTTTATTATCGTTTGGAATCCGTATCTTGTACGTATTGTACGTAGCTAAATAACAATGGTGATTAAATAACAATAGTTTCATTTTTCTAATTTTAAAAATTTAAATTCTCCCACACAATTACTAAATTCTTATGTGATTAGCCATTTACAATGGGGTAACTAAATAATTAATTACACAATTGTCATGTTCTCAATGTGATAATTCCTTGTGTGAAATTTTATTTTATTTTTTATAAAAAAAATTAAAAAAAAAAATAATTAATAATTATTACTAAATAAAATCAAATTAACTAAAAAATAATGTATATACTATTGAATTATTTAACTTGATTTCATCCTTTTCAACCTCTGAGATTTCTTCGAGAATAGAATTAGAAAATAAATAAAAAAAAAGGGAACACAATCCACTAAATAAGGTGATGTTTTGGGGTAAAAGGAAATGATTCACGCAATACAAATAAAAAAAATTAGGTCCCAATCATATTAGGTTAATAACAAACCAATTAATTCATTTTCTTAATGTGGTTAGAACTTATAATCAGGTGATCTTGCAGATATGAAGTACTATTTCATTTGACATTAGACCCTAATTAAAGTTTTTTTTTATAATTATGACAGAAAAAGGCAGGAACAATCCAAGATTGCCACTTCATATTAACATAAGAACAGAAATATTTAGTACAAAAACAAATTCTTTACGGACAATATGGCAGAACTCATTTTATCTCCCTCATATATTAAAATTTCTTAAAATAAATGCTAAATTTAAACGTCAAATTTTATTGGGTATTTTATTTATTGTTTTTTGGATATGTATTTATGGAATAAGACACATTTCAAAAGTAGAAGAATTACCATTACAAAATATATTTCAAGAAGTAGATATGTTAACCAATGCCTTTCCCACAGAAGGGGATGGTAAAACGACTGCAATTTTATTGAATTGGTCAAGGATAGAAAATTTAAAGATAATAGTAAGGCACCTTTGTCAATATTCAATGTTCAAAGAAATTATGATCTGGAATAATAATGGAGATGTTCATCTTTCAGACCAAGTAAGATTAGTTTTTAATAAATGGAAAAAATATTTCATCATTATTCATCATCATTCATCATCATCATCACCATCATCATCATCATCATTTAAACAATTAGTAGAACAAAAATAAATAAAAAAATCAATTTTTCTTATTGATATAATAATAAATCCATTTTCGTTGCAAGATTTTCTCTGATACCCGTTGTCATAAACTTCGGTATTACAATTCTCCGGGAAACATGTATTTCATTGCTAGATATATGGCATGTGCAATGGCAACAACACCTTATTGTTATTTTCAAGATGATGATTGGGTAATTCATCATATGCGATCGATGTATGCCAATTTTTTACGATATCCGGACTTGATTCATACAGACACTAACGCTGATGCATATTCTTTGACGAATTGGAAATGGTGTTTTTTTGATGATTGTATGTATAACTTTTATTTATGATTTTTATTCATGACTTTATTCATGACTTTATTCATGACTTTATTTATGACTTTATTTATGACTTTATTTTTGACATTTCATCAAATTAAATTTTCATCAATCTTTTATAAATTTTTATAATTTAGCAATTGATTTACATGCATGTTTTTCATGGGTTGGAACTGGAGCTTTTGTATCCAAGGAAAATGTAATAAATTTTCTCAAGTTAACCTCAATTACTGAGATGGATCCTACAGAGTTTGCATATGGAGACATGTACTTTACAACATATATGAATCAAGTTCCTTATCAATTAGAAAATGAATTACAAGAATTACCACAAGAAAATGCTTTCAGTGCCGGAGAAGGAAGAATTCGTAATAATATTTATATGCATAAAGCTTTATTACATCTCCATGATCATCTCTCAAACCGTACTGATGAATTTGAAACCAAAGAACTTTATCCGACCATGTATCAAAGAGATGTAAGATCTCCTTGTGCAAATGATCGATGTTTATTTTTAACAAATAAAAATTCATTTCCGGATGTAAGAACATTTCTTTATAAACCATCAATGAATATCAGTGAATCAGAACGCATTCACGAAAGTTATTATGGTACAGAACATTTCATCAAATATCCTTATTCACATGCTGTTGATGGTAAAGACTCGACTGTTTGGAAATCATTTGAAGGTTGATAATCAAATTATATATATATATATATATTTTTCATCTATTATTTATATGTGATTTATTATTTATTATTTATTATTTATATTTATTAATTTTACATCTTATTTTCCTCAATTTCTCCAATTTTAGTTATTGACAAAGATGATTATATTGGATTAGATTTATTATTCCCAATGCCTTTTCCTCTAACCTTTACACTCATTGTTGATCATCATAGAGATTATTTTTCGACATTAAATATTCATATATCTTATAACGGAGTTGACTGGGTAATTTCATTTTCATTTTTTATTTGATTATTTAAATGTTTCAAATATTGATTATTATTATTATTATTATAGATACAATTGGCACCTTTACCAAAGATTATTATCACACAACTTTCACAAACTGGACTTGATGGTAAAACACATTTATTATCGTGTTCATTCCAAATTCGAGAGACTGGTATTAGATTTGTTAAATTAACAAGTACGAGAGAATGGGAATTTCCATATGGAGTACATGATTTTTCTTTTCACGCTAAATCTGCGAGAACCAAATAGAATTAAATAATAATTTTAGTTTTTTTTTTATATAATTTATAGAAAATTAAAGTTAGGCACTTAAAAAAAAATTAAAATAATGGTCAAGGTTTTTTTACAATTAATAATAAATATAAAAAGCATATTAATCACATTAATTTCATTATTATTTTCTAAAAATGAAAATGTACACTCCCCTGCCAAAAGTATCCGACCACCTAAAAATTCGTATTTTTTAAGTAAATTTTTATTTGCTAATAA